AGTTAATTTTAATAATCTAGTTTAGGCTAAGCACTACTACCTTAGCTATCTTAGTTTAGAGAGTATATAATAACTTACCTAGATAAGTATAGAGATAACTATTACTAATACTTAAATTAAAGCTAAGCTTAAAGATAACTATTCTATATACTATACTACTTAAGCTTTGTATAAAATTCTACGTAACCTAGCTAACTAATACTATTAATAGTTTAGTAAGCTAGTTACTATAAATACCTAAAGACCTTACTTAGTCTCTAGTTTAAATAGTAAAAAGTATACTCTTTTTCTTATTAATAACGCTACACGCTTTATATAGGTAGAGCTATTTAGCTTAAAAAACACTATTAGCGCTAAACTTATCTTACTTCTTATATATCTTATTATAGAGTATAGTAAATCTATTTATTAGCTGCGCTATAATAATAAGTTTATTACTAATATAATTAAAGCATACTACGCTAACTATAGTATTACTATAGAACTCTGCGTTCTATACGCTTACTATATAGTAGATATAGTTAAACGCTTATATTATATTATATAAGAGTAAGCAGCTACTATAATTTAGAACTTTACTTCTACTTCTATTATAACTATAGCTATTATTAACTACACTAAAGAAATACTATAGAATACTATACTTCTAGAGAGTTTATAGATATATACACTACTTAAAGTAGTTTATAAAAAGAATAATTTTCTATCTAAAGCTCTTAAGTATATTAAGACTCTATATAAGATACTATATTAGAGATAACTTAACCTATCTAAAGCTAGTGTATAGAGAGCTTATATATACGTTACTATATTACTAGAGCTATATAACGTAGTTACTTTAAGAAAGCTTTATACTTCTTACGCTTATATTACGTACTTTCTCTATACGTTAAGTAATAATATTTACTACGTCTAGAACTCTAATACTAGATAAGTTAAATAGATCTCTATTACCTATATTAATAATACTACTAGTATAGCAGACCTACAGCCTTATAGCTAATATATTAACTAGCGTTTACTATAAGATTCTATTTCTATACCTACTATTATAGATAACTTTAACTCTAATTCTAACTATAATAATCTTTATACGCTAATTACTCTAACTACTATAGAAGACGCTCTTAACTAGAATAATACTCTTCTCTCTATTCTAACTATATAGAAAGTACCTCTAGACTAGGCCTATAAACTTTACGTACGTTACTAACATCTATATTATAAGTATCTAGAAGACTCTAATCTTCTCTATAGTTATTATATAACTAAAATAAAAGTTAACTATTATATATAGACTTAGGTAGACTAAGACGTTATTCTTATAGCTTAAAATAATAAAGTATAGTAGAAATAAGCTTTTAAGTTATAGTCTACTACTTTTTTCTACTTTACTTAGTTATTACTAGAAACACTACTAAACATTTTAATAAATAGAGTAGACGTACCTAAAGACGTACTAGTAGTATATACGCTATTACTATATAAGCCTACTACGCGCTATAATAGTAACTATAATAAGGCACTACTAGATATTTTAATAGATAGAGTAGGCGTATCTAGAGATATACTAGTAGCACGTACGCTATTGCTATATAAGTATACTATACACTATAATAGTAACTATAATACTATTATTTCTAACTTCTAACTAGACTTAGAGAATAATAAGAGATATAGTTAGTATTATAGTATAATACATAATACTAGAGTATATCTCTACGCCTTATATTTATAGTATAGAAAATAGTGTAAGTTTACACTTTTTTCTATAACCTCTAAATACAACTATTATATTAAGTGCTAAACTATATATATTCTAGCTACCTTATAATAAATTATATAGGCTAGTAACTACTATACACTTTACTAGAAAAAGAAGTATTATACTTAAGAAGTACTAGGCTCTATTTATAACTCTTATATTACTACTAATAACTACCTTAACTATAAACTAGTGTAGGTATAAGTTTACGCTATACTTTTATCTTACTAACGCTACTATATATGCTAAAACTAAATATAGCTACACTATTAATAAAGAGGTTACCTACTAGTAACTATATATAATAGTAACTACTCTTATAATATATATAAGAATACTAACTATCTATACGTTTTACTAAAAAATATTAGTAATAGAAAGTGTATTAGGTGTTTAGGTAAATAGGTATAGTGTAATCTTACCTTACTATGTTTAAATTATATTAAGTCTAGCTCTACTTATACTTATTTTAGTAATAATAATAGTACTTAGATAGCTACCTATCTATCTAGAGTGTTAGATTACTTATTACTATATAAATGTATATAATATAACTATTTTAATAGAGATTATACTAGTAAATATAGTAAGTATCTATACTACTTCTATATAACTAAGAATTTTATAAATAATTTCTAGTCTTATATATAGAAAATCTCTAATAATATTCTTATATATAAGAACCTAGCTACTTATAACCTTATTAGTAATAAGAAAGAATAGATAATTTAGTACAACTCTAATATATAGGTTTCTCTAATATAAAGTATAATACGCTACGTATACGCACCTATTAATAAAGATAATAGTAATAAGTTTACTAAAGAACTACTAGATAATAATCTTTAAGATATTACTCTAGTTTCTCTTAATAATATACCTATTACTATTAATAAAGATCTTAATGCTAATCTTTATAGTCTCTACACTAATCTAGTAATAGCTATAATCTTAGCTTTATTAATTTATATACTAAAAACCTATAAAGAGGCTATAATATTACTATAGGCTATAAGATAGTATAAGGTAACTTATAAGAAGCTTAATAATCTACTTTTAAAGAATGTCTATAACGTTATACTAGTGCCTAAGAGAATAAAAGTTATCTCTTCTAAGTTTATATTTAAGGCTAAACTAACTCTTATAGATAAACTTACTAAGCTAAAAGTATAAGTAGTAGCTTGCAGCTTTTAGTAATAATAAGAAATTAACTATACTAAAAAGTTCTCTCTAATAGCACGTTCTACGTCTATTTATATACTACTTACTATTTATATACTACTAGAATAGATAAGTAATTAAATAGACGTTTTTATTACTTTTTTTAATACTACGCTTTATAAGATAGTCTACTATATACCTTCTTCTCTAGTTATTCTACCTACTAGTTATATATAGCTACTAAGAAAATCTCTATATAGCCTTATTTAGTCTCTGCGCAGCTAGTATAAGACTCTTACCTTCTAACTTATTATAATAGAATTTTATATCTTCTTATATAACTCTTATATCTATATCTATAATACTAAGTTACTTATTATATTTATCTATATAAATAATATTTAAATCTATACACTATGCTAGCGTATTATTAATTATTTTAAAAATAACTTATCTAAGTTATTTACTATTACGTTAGAACTAGACGCCTTATATCTTAGTATATATATTAATTACTAATTAAATATAACTACTATTTACTAATCTAAATATATATAATACGTACTAGAGTAGTATAAGCTTATAAATCTACCTACTATAAGCACGCTATGTAACTACTACGTAAAACTAGCTAATAACAAGAACACTACTTCTTTACCTTACTTCTAGAAGGCGTATTTATAGAAGTTTAGCTTTCTTAACTACTTACTAGCTATAACGCGTATTAATCTTATCTATACAGCCTTATTATATAAATAATTTAATAGCTATTCTATATAGTCTTATTTAGATAGTATTATATAGGCCTACGTATATATTAATAGTACTTCTTAAGTTAGTATTACGTATATAAAGTAAGAACCTAGTCTATATAGATATATAGACGCTAACTAGGCTAGATATCTAAATACCTAGTAATTTATAACTAGCTATATTTTTATACTTACTAAAGGTTCTATCTTCTAGTCTTTAGGCTTATAAAAGATTGTAGCACTCTTTACGTATAAAGCTAAGTATATTACTCTTAGTAAAGCTATTAAAGAAGCTATTTAAATTTATAACTTTATTAATAATCTTAGAGTTAGTATTATCTTTAACTTTATTTTTATTTATATTAATAATAAGTCTACTATTAAGCTTACTAAGAATCTAGAGTTTTACTAGTAAAGTAAGTATATTAATATATAGTATTACTTTATACGTAATTACGTACGTAATAAAAATATTATAATTTAGTAGATTAATAGCAAAGATAACTCTACTAATATATTAACTAAAGCTCTTAATACTATTAAGTTCTAAAAGATCTACTATACTTTAGGCCTTATAATAGGTTTAACTTCTTCTGCAATATTAGTAGTACTTATACCTTATCTAGCTTATTCTTTCTATAGTATATTATTTTAAGCAAATTATTTTTTCTTTCTTTTTTTTATTTAATTTATTCTTTATTTAGATTTAGAGAGGCTATTAGTTAAGCATTCTCTTACGTAATTTACTTACTAGCGTACTTACTAGCGCTTCCTTCTCTCTATATAAATAAGGGCACACTCTTTTGTACATAGAATAATTAATACATTCTACACTCCTCTCTGTTCTACAATCTGGTCACAGATGGGAAGACACCCCTGTCATTGGAGCGATTAACTCAACGAGAATTCTCTCGGTGAACAGGCACAGTCGTGATTGGACGAGATGGACCGATGCGCCAACCTTCTTGAGGAGGATCAGAGACGCATATCGGAGCACAGCATGGACACCATGGGTGGCCGCAAACCCCGCTGATCCGCGCGTCCTTCCGCCGTCCCAAAACATCACATCATCGCTTCTGATCAAGAACGGTTGGCCCGAAAAGCTTGACATCGATCAGTTTCGGGCTGACTTCATCCGGGCGCAGCACAAGCCGTCAGGACGAGGCTGGGCCGAAGGTGCTTTCCAACAGATCAGAACTTACCAAGATGATCCAGATGATCCGACCAACATATACTATACCAAGAGACTTCTACAACGATATCAGGATCATGAGCTTGACGAGGAGATTGAATATTCCACTGGAGAATTGAACAGGATGATTATGGAGGCGGAAAGAGCAAAGAATGAGATTGATCAACACGACAAGGATTACGAAGAAGCGAAACGGCAGATACAGCGGCTGTGTCCAGACGGCATCTGTGTCGAGGCAGAGGATCTCATTCTTTGGGAGTTCAGAGGACTAGAACAGACATATGCAGAGGCACAGCTCAAACCCGACACTAAGACACTGTGCGAACGCTGCCCTTGGAGGCTGGACGAAAGGTTTTATGATAGACATTTGTCGTCAGATCAGCACGCAAGTTGTGTCACCCGAGTCAACTTGGAGAGACACTGGTTAGAGTTGGCATACCAACAATCCCGCGCCGATGCCCTCGCTCATTGCGCTCGAAGCGACAAGAATCTCCTCCCCCCTGCCTCGTTCGAGACCATCGCGAGTATCTACATTGCCGATTATGAAAGTAAATATCACGGGTGGAAGATTGAGGATATCAAAAAGGCTTTGTCTGGTGACATTGGCGATGAAGCCCTTCTAGAGCTCTGGAGCCGATTAGAGGTTCTGGTGGAGCCTCGTTCTTCTTCTGATGACAGACTGTACGACTAGAAGATATATGGTCCGGGTATCAACATGAAGAGCGATGGTCGCTATCACAATGGTAAACGGTAGCGATTGTTCTCACTCTTTTCTCGATTCATATTGCATTCATCTTCACTTCACTTTCTTTCACTTCACCTTACTCGATCACATCACAACAAATCAAACACCGCCAACTTCTTCCTCAATGTTCTGGCAAGCCAGAAGCATTAATGAAAAAGCATAAGGAACACAACAAGTGAATGTTGTGGAGGGCCGCCCCACCTCGCGGCGCTCGATGACTCGCAACCATGCGTCGAAGAGTCTCTCTTCCAAGCCGTGCCCGGGAAAAGCCAGTCGAGAAGGCGATGCTGGGGGTTAGCCAGCTGCTGTGAGTTAGTCGAGTATAGCCCGGGGGGCGTGTGGATTGTAGGAGGGAGGCAGGAAACGCTGTTTATATAGTCGGCTGCTGGCCTGCCAAGAGCGGCCGGATGAACCTGTGGGCCCGGATTTCACATGGACTGTGCTCACGCCGGTACCCGTGGTTCTGCCGGCAGTATAGGGACGTGCGGGACGAGGTGAGGGCGAGGTGAAGGGGACTTGCGACAGTCTGGAGTGGTGTGGTGACGTCAGACCTTTCGCAGCGGTCGAGACTCAATACGCGCATGAGCTGTCTCAGCGATGGATTATGAGAGTCTCTGCCGGTTAGTGGATATTGCGCTACACTATGAGACCAGTGGATGAATGTCTAAGTCACGTGCGGGATTCATGTGCGCCAACTTTCTCAATGCTCGTCCTGCGAATTTCGTCAAATGGCATATGATGATGAATTACCGTATGTAAATGAGAGTACAGTGTTTTGAGAGGATGGTAGGCCAAAGAGTATGTCTTCAAACTTGATGGTCGTCACATCGCTTGTCCTGGGTTGCCCCGCAATTGACACGCGATCCCACACGAACCCCACGCCAGTACGCGGTCACGACTGCAGACCTCGGGAATCGCGAAAAAAATCAGCCGCGACCAGTCGTCACTTCATCATGACAAGCCGCTTAGACATCGTCACCAAAGACGCGAAAGCGCTCGTGCCAGGTCGCAAGACATTCTTTGATCTCTCCGGCGAACTGCGAAACCAGATCTACGACCTTGCACTCGACAAGCAATACCAGCGCGTACCCTTGAACCCGTACTATCTCAACAAACCCGACCCGTACATTGCTCTACTACAGACATGTTCTCAGATATACAAGGAAGCGCGGAGCTACCTCGTCGAGAAGCAGGTCGCTTACATCCCAGTAATGGCCGGCATGCAGTACGACTACGGGACCGAGCTGAGTGAAGACTACGGCCTGAGCAAAGAGACGACAGACACCATTGCAGCATCACTGACCGACTTCATGGAAGTGCATTTCCACTTGCACATCGACATTCTGCGTGTCTCGATAAACCGCCGGTGGGACGGCAGCGACGACTTCCGTCTCAATGATGCAAACGGAGAAACATGGAACATAGTCGCCTTACTCGACACCCTTCACCAAGCCATCAAGAACTATACTCCGCACTCTTGGAACCTATACCTTGAACACGAGCTGGGAAAGCGACGTGCGACGGTCCACCTCGACCATCTACTCTCACTGTGGCCCAGGATCTCACCAGAACAACCCTGCGTCCCTATCGCTGCGATGCGCGACCTCGTCGATCTTATGGCGAAAGACACCATGACTGAATGGCAGATACGGTATTACATCCCGACTGGCCAGGCCGGTGTATCGGTCAGATACGGATGCACGATGGACGACGATATGGCCCACGCGATTCGCGACACGGAACTAGCGCAACTACGCAGTTATGCGAAAACATGCGGACACGACAATGTCACCATCATTGCAGAGCTATATGGCGAAAACACCGCGTGGGAGTATGGGGACAAGTCCGACAGCGTGACTAGGCTGCGTAGCCCCGCTACAGATTTCTGGCCAAACTTGCATTTCGACCCTTGGAAATACTCAATGCCGCATCACCAGCATTGGAACAGATCTTATCCCGGTAAGTGAAACACTCACTCTGTCCTTCCTTCTGTGAAACTATCTTAAGACAAGAGAATACATTGACCTAGGAAGTATATACTGATCAATGTAATGTGTATGCTGCAACGCGAATTCTGTCGCTAAACAGCTCCCTCAAGTTACCCTTACTAACGACACATGCGTAGAAGAAATGCCCATCGAGAACTTTGAAGAAGCCGCCCTGTTAGCCACTCACGAAGATCGCCCGCGCCGGGCAGACTGGATGGAGATGCTGCAGCGGAGGGACGACCAGGCTGAGCTGAGGCGGCGGTACGAGGAACATAGGTCTTGGGGTGTCGGAGCGTCAAGCTGAGAGAGAACGGTACCAGGCATTAGAGCCTACCTTGACTTCAGGCCACCTACGTTGTATGTTCCGATCGTGAGATATTCTGCAGACCTGTTTAGTTTTGTTCTCGTATGAGGTGCGGCGGATCTTGCATCAATCGCTGGATAATGATAACGTCGTCTCTAACTTCACAGCCTGTTGTAGAACCACCTCTAATACCCCAGCTTCGCCACCCTTTCCTTGCCAAAGATATCCCCCAGACTAACCAACTTAAAGCTCGCCTCCTTTGCCGTGCCTCCACCAGCCAGCTCATTAGCATCGTCATGCGTGACGAAAAGCCCATTTGGAAAGTCCTTATTCAGCGCGTTGCCCACAGCAGCACATCCATCCGTATTACTAACGTGGTCGATGCCCTTTGCCTTGTTATCAATGATAGTGAACGTCTCCACGTACTTGTGCGGGGGCGCGCGCTCGTAGATAAGGTACGCTGAGATGCCCTGCGACGAAACGATGATATAGCCACCCGGACCTGACTTGGCTGGCACGAGAGTGATGCCCTCGACGTCGGCGTGGAGGCCGCTGGCGTCGCCTACTTGCGCGATCTGAACACCGTTGTTTGAGCCAGTGGGTTCGGCTTCGTATCGCCAGATACCGAGTGGTTCTTCGCCGATGAAGAGGTAGCCGGCGCCTTCGTCCGCGACGCAGCCTTCGACTTGGCCGCCTGAGCCGCCTTGAAATTCGCGGACGAGGGTAGTCTGCAGGGTGCCGTTCGCGGTCGCGCTGAGTTCGTACTGTAGGTATTGCGCATCCTTGTTGTTGACGAAGAGGTACTCTTTTCCGGTGGTCGGAGAGCGGTAGTTGCAGGAGCCGTAGGGTTCGTAGTCTCTCGGTAGCATTTGCTTACCACCAGAAACAGTGCTGAGGTAGCCTGTGCTGTTTACTTCGACCAGGCTTGGCGATGCATTAGCAGATGTTGTAAGAAGTCATGCGATGGTACTCACCACATGGTGTTGTCACCGCGGCATGCTGCGAATGCGAGATCGACCTTCCGGGAACCGAGAGTGAAGTTGTAGATGACATCGACGTTGTTTGGCTCCTCAGCCGTCAAATGCTGAAGAAGTCTTCCCTGCAGATCGAAGACACCAAAGCCTTCGCCCTCTTCAGACTTTGTTGTGGTAATGATCTTGCTCTGATCTGGTCGAGTGGGGTGGATCCAAATCGCAGGGTCATCGCCGTCTCCGCCGTTTGCATCAGTCTCGAACTTTGCGGTGACCGCGACGAACGAGCAGTCTGGGCCAGTCCACCCATCTTTGCACTTGCAGACATTTGGGCCGGTACACTTGCCATGTCCAGAACAATCGTTTTCGCAGGTGATCTTGGAGCAGTCGCGACCAGTAAAGCCGGCAAAGCAGGAACAGTCCTTGCCTGACACGAAGCCATTGTTGGAGCACTTCTTGGTGACGGAGCTTTCGCAGTGCTTGCAAGCCTTGTTGTTGGGACTGTACTGTGTGTTTGCCTTGATGCCCATGGATTTGAGCGCACCGTCCAGAGAACCTACAGCTACCCCAGTATCATCTTCTCCCTCAAAAGCGAAGGCGAATGCGCCAGATGGGTATCCAGCAACTGAAGATTGAAGGATGGCTAGCGAGCCCTCGATAGAAAGATCAGAGATACCGCTCAATGAGATGCTTCCCTTCTGCTTGATGTCGGAGTCGTACACATCGATGACCTCGTCGTGGGCTACGAACAGATAGTCGGCGGATGCGCTGTGGTAAGTAGCAAGTCCCGCAACTTCGATGTCCTCGGTAACAGTCTTGATCTCGGGTGCCTGGACAGACTCTGACGCTTGGAAAGAGTACAATGGTCGATCTTCGGCCGAAAAGAAGATCCCGCCATTCGCGAATACGGCGCAAGTTTCGCCTTCGATAGCAACGGGAAAAGTTTGAACCTATGACCTTTGTCAGTACTACTGTCTTTAGCCATGATCAAGAGACAACAGTACCTCCAGAATCTCAACCCGGCTTTCATTGCCCCGAATCAAGAACTGCACGACCATCTTCTTTCCAAAGAGGAAGATGTAACTCTGTCCGCTCTTCCCACTACGCCACACGCACGCAGTACTCCAGTCGCCCAGCTGCTTCTTGTTATTACTTTCGATCGTTTCCCCATTCTGAGCATCAAAGACCCTGATCAAAGAATCTGGAGCTGGGATGTTGACGATCAGATCCCTACCGTCGATGTCGTGAACAGCAACAGCAATCTTCGAGCGACCAGTCTTCTGATGCGACTTCTCTGCAAAGCTTGAGGAGTTGGAGCCAGAGAATATCCGGAAGCCACCGTCGGCAGCACTTCCATCATTGGTGACCAGTAAAGGTGATTTGCCGTAGACGAAGTTGGTATTGTCGCCCTCGATTCCAGTCGCGGCTGCGACGAGTGTAACGTTGGCGGTCTGGGCTGCGACGAACGGTGTGACCACACTCGCCCATACGAGGCATCGCGTGAACGTTTTCATTCTGTGGCGGACGTTGTCAAGATCAATGAGGGCGGCCTGACTCCATGAACATGGTCGTCGAGGCGGTCTTATATCCCAACATGTCTCCAAGTAATGGGCTGAACCTAGACTTCCCGCTGATCCATGTGCATATGCAGTCCATGTCGCTATAGCCCTTCGGGGCTCCGATGTTTCGAGGAAAAATCCACAAAACTACGCGATATTGTCGTTAGGGGCGCGATGCATGGTGTGCCTGCTGCTTTGGGTTAGGTCAAGCTGGCTGAGCGGCCAATAACGATGTCTGCTATTGAAACGTGAGACGGCCGGGCAAGATTCGAGGCCGGGATCAACATGAGGAGAACGGAGAAGGATGGAGACCTGGCATGGTTTTGAGGTGTGAACATGCACTTGAAGAATTGTGGTGACATGCCAGGCTCGAGCAGAGGGTGATGGTATGTTTACCAAGTTGCAACCATTGGAGATTGTGTGCCACACGAAAGGCGATGAGCCTGATCGCGCTTCAGCTTGATAATGATTAGAATTGGTCCTTGTCCTGCGGGTGGACTCTGACACGGATGTAGATGTAGATTAGAAGTTGGTGGGTTGATACTTGGGCAGCTTCCAGTACCTGGTCTTCTACTCATATCTCGTCGGCATCTCTAGGCGCGTTCCACAGGTGTTGTTTTACATGCGGAACTAAAAATTCACGTTTCTGGGATGTTTGCTGTACGCGAACATAGGTCATTCTTGGTGTATCTCTGCGAGATTAAAAGAAGATTGTGAGAACGATGACGCGCGCGGTGCCAAGGCGCAGATCCGCACCCGTGGCACCAACAGACGCGACAGGATAGTAACACGACACCCACGACATCGCGCAGCGATTCATTTGAATACATGCCTGCTGGTAGAACAACCGCGAGTCCCTATACATCTCTCGGCTACCTACTCACGTTCATCCCAGGTCTCCCGCTCTTCCGACGCGCCGCACCCGTCCGCACGATAAGCCATCTCGGCAGTATTCCTCCTATCATCTCTCCACGATCAAGCGCGATGCTTACAGGAAGAAGGCCGGCTCCAAACACACTAGGGCTCTAATCGCGGGCCATCTAGACGTGCCCGGGCTTTAACTGCCCTCGCCAGATGGGCTGAACAACGTACTCCACCATGGGCATACTGCAGCATGCGTCTATGTTCGGAACCGGTCGCACGACTTTCAGCCCTACGCTACAGCCATGCAGTGTCGACGATAATCGCACGCTGTCACGAATGTAGCCTTCGGTCACGATGATTACCTTGGATGGACATACCTGGCAACACCGACACTTGATCAAGTCGTGGAAGACTGCTCAATTCAGTGAGCCTTCATGGCGAGCATACTGAACTGTAGCTGGCATATGAAAGATGGCAGACTTGAAAGGACGAAACACATGACACAGTGATCAATACCTCGTCTGAAATCCATATGAAACACTCGAGCCCAAGCCCTCGGCACTCTATACCCTTCCTCCTGTGACGACGCGGCACTCTGGTGGCTCCGAATTGCACCCCCACACGGCGAGAGAGCCTTCTCTCAAGCTTGTCACATACTTGAGCGTTCCAGATAACAAAGGACCCCGTGGTCTCGATGCCAACGAGTAGTCATAAAGCCCGCCAATTGGATAGACGCAGCGATTGAGTTGATTACTCTCCATTCGCGACCCCGCCTTCTACGCGTTGCAGCATGCATGATACACCCTGGCCATCTGTGCATCCACAAATTGCCCTTGCGAGATCCAAGAATACAAATTGTCCGGGGAGAGGCACCAAGAATGCTTAGCTATCGGTACATTCGCGATGCATTGAACCACTACCTTCGATTCGTTGCTCGCATGCTAACCCCGCACTGCACCTTTAGCGCCACGGCTCTTGACCTCATATACCGAAGTGGAATTGCTTGGCAACATTGAAATATCCATACGAAGCGCACTACGCCGAGATGCACATGATTGGGATACCATTTTGGAAACTTAGCTGTGGAACGAAGTGACAGCCTGATCGCGTCCATCAATGAGTTCTCAACTCCCAAGGCGGACCAGATGTTCATCAATCCGTCAGAGATTATCGCATGATCAGTTCCTCATATTGCATGAGCTCATTGTCGGGCTTCTGAAGACTGGGCAATATGCATTGTGTACTTTGCACACAAGCATGGCCAGGATCGAAGCTGTGAAACGATCCTATAAGTTGGCAGCATCATGTAGTTCAATAACGGTGTGACAACCCACATCCTTCATTCAGCTCACAGTCTTCCCTTTCATCATGTTGTCGACTTCGAACCTTGCGGTGTTTCTGGGTGTTTGCGCCTCCCGCGCATCCGCCTGGGTCATTGGAACGGAGCAGTCCGAAACTCACCCAAAGATGACCTGGCAGCGCTGCACAGGCAGCGGTGGTAACAGCTGTACCAATGTCAACGGAGAGATTGTCATTGATGCTAATTGGCGCTGGCTCCATTCCGTGGGAGGCTACACCAATTGCTTCGACGGAAACGAGTGGAACACCACGGCGTGTGCGACCAACGCCGCATGTACCAAGAACTGTGCTATCGAAGGCTCAGACTACCGCGGTACCTACGGCATTACGACCTCGGGCAATGCTCTTACCCTCAAGTTCGTTACCGAGAACCAATACTCCACCAACATAGGCTCTCGCACGTACCTCATGAAAGATGCAAACAACTATGAGGTAGGGCAGCGCACCAGATCTAGGTATGACACAGACGCTGATTATTGCTGTTCGCTGTTTAGATGTTCAACCTTGTCGGAAACGAATTCACCTTCGACGTCGACAACTCGCAGTTGCCATGCGGTCTCAATGGAGCATTATATTTCGTTTCCATGCCCCAGAAGGGCCACGGTGCGCCCGGTGCAAAGTACGGGACTGGCACGTCACAGGATTCGCTATTTATAGAGCGTGAACTGATACATCCCAGGTTACTGTGACGCTCAATGTGCTCGAGACCTGAAGTACATCGATGGCAAAGCCAACGCAGAAGGTTGGCAAGCATCCGAATCTGACCCAAATGCGGGTATTGGCAGGAATGGTGCATGCTGGTGAGTACTTCAGTCTGCTCGGCCTGGCCCATTCTGACGCAACTCAGCACTGAGATGGACATCTGGGAGGCAAACTCAGTCTCCACGGCTGTGACCCCACACTCTTGTCAGCCTGAAGGCTACTCAGTCTGCACAGACGATACATGTGGTGGAACATATTCGCTCGATCGCTATGCCGGCTCCTGCGATGCGAATGGTTGCGACTTCAACCCGTACCGTGTCGGCGCGAGAGACTTTTATGGCAAGGGCAAGTCTGGTGTAGACACATCAAAGAAGGTGACAGTCGTCACACAGTTCTTGGGATCTGGAGGATCGCTCAGCGAGATTAAGCGCTTCTATGTGCAGAACGGCAAAGTCATCGCCAACCCGGAGCCTACAGTCCCTGGCATGGTATGTGCTCACGTCACCGAGCCTTATGAACTCCGTTCTGACAATCGCGCAGACAGGCAACTCGATCACCCAAGAATGGTGCAACACGCAGAAGGAAGTCTTCCAGGAGGAAGTCTACCCCTTCAACGAGTTTGGCGGCATGGAGTCCATGGGTAGGGGTATGAACCTGGGCATGGTACTCGTCATGAGTCTCTGGGACGACCACTACGCCAATATGCTTTGGCTTGACAGCAGCTACCCTACCGACAAGGATCCGGAGCAGCCTGGTGTCGCTCGCGGCGAGTGCGACATCAACAGCGGTGTGCCGGCTGATGTTGAGTCTGCCAATCCGAACGCGCAAGTCGTCTTCTCGAACATCAAGTTCGGGCCTATCGGCAGCACTTTTGCGCAGCCTGCTTGAGTTTATCAGGACACATATTGGTGGCTCTACGCAGCCTCATCGGTTACCGCTTGTACATAAATCTGTCTGATCATATCATTCGCTTCATTCTGATCAGAGACACGGAACAATCAACGCTGTACAATGTTAAAATACACTGTAGGCAATAAACATTCGTTCAGGAATGCGCACACTTGACTCTAGCGCTTTCACCTTTGGCGGTGTGTATTCACAGTGAAATACTGGTCGGGGCAGGATGGGCTGCTGTCAGCTCAGAGGGAAAATGCCCCTAACTTCTGTTCCTCATTAGTATGTTAAAACATCCTTGGAGCGAAGTAAGAACTTCTAAGTCATTATCCAACCCTCCCGAAGTCCCCTTTACAGCACATGATAACACCGTGGCTATGGACCTACAACTCGAAGAAACGTCACAACAGTCAATTGCGCAAACTGCGTTGGCCATACCAGAGCTCACGGAAAACATCCTGAACCGTTTGCCGGATATTCACGATCTAATTCATGTTCGAGCAACTTCAAAGGTCTTAAAGACCATCGTCGACGGAACACCCAGCATTCAACGCCGCTTGTGGCAGCTTCCCGTCCCAATTCCACATGACGAAGACCCACATTACCCAGATTTGCCACAGATCATGTCCACGTATCCTCGCAAGCTGAGCTACCAGGAGGTGGAATGGGCCCTAGAGGGGATTCGTCGCATGGAATGGGATTTTTATGACGCAATCGAGGCAGGCGAGGATGAGGTAATCGCAGCCGTGGCGCGAGAGCTGCAACGGGAACGTCTATGGCATCCGTCCGAGAAATTTAAATACACGTTTTCCCTTCAAACTTTCTTCATTCTAACACCTCGGCAACATGCGTTCAGGTGCGACAGTTGCCGGCGTCTTCACCCTCCATACGCTGCCTCGGGCTTACATCCAGCTCTCCGCTTCCTACACAACCACGAAATCTGCGGTCGAGGCTATGGTTCAGAACTGCTCTTTCGCTTCGCTCTTGGGAATTTCGGAAGTGCAGATTACCGAATGGGGCCTGCATTGGACGAAATTGAGGGTCGCATGGCTGGCCGCAATAATGTGTACGTTCTAGCGTTGTTTGCCAGGGCTGTGAGCGACGCTTACGAAACCGCAAAGCAACGCGGTATTCTTCAACATCATTTCATGGCGCCCGTGTGCACAAGGCTCATTCTGTCTTGCGTCGAAGGTCCCGACCCCGTGGGTCTGGGGAATACCATTATTCGTGATCAAGATGGCCTCAAGTTGGGGCAAGTGCTACGCGCTCTTCTGCGATTTTGTGACCTGACCTTTACACGCGGTCGCGCTAAGGTACTGACTGTCAACGAGTCTTATGTCATAAGTGGAATATATGCTGAGACATGGAAGGAGGACAAGGCCTATATCGCTCAGTTGTACGACGAGGCACAGGAGGAGTTGCCCTGCTTGCAGGAAGGTTACCTGGATGAAGACCAAGCAGCTCGTGTTTGAGGTAACGAATACGCCCAGAGATCGCAGCGACTGATCTTGTATCTAGGAGCAGGAACTCTCGCATCATGGATCATTATCTTCTTTCTTTCAATTTTGAGCGTTCGTCTCGGTAGACCAGAGTCTGGTGTCACATGGCCAAACCAAGTTCGTTCCCACTGAGATATCGAGATCCGCGTCACAACGGCAAACACGAGTGTCTGCTTCGTATAGAGTAAACGAAGTCTGTTCTCACATGACCGAATACAAATACTCTCTTGTTCTCTCTTGTTATGTTCGTGCGTGTCCAACTTGTATCTCTTCCCCCGACTCTTCCCTCATCTGATCCGATCCGTAGCTCTCATTGCTGGCAAATCAGCGTACTCTTCGCCCTAGCCTCTTCCCCACTGTTAGCCAGCAGTGCCTAAAGCATCTAGCGAAAATGCTTGAAGACCGTGTGGAGGGTGTGACACGTTGCTGGTTTCCGTGCCCATGCGACGACCTAGAGGAGGATCAGTGCGATTGCTGCGCGTGGTAATCGCGTGAGAGGTCTGGCTACCGATGGCGTTGAGTAAGGAGGTATGGACGGCAGTGGTGACGTAATTGCCATCCGGTCCGAGCACTAGCGGGCTTTGGGTTAGCGCAGTTAGGCTGGATTTCGACCCGGGCAACTCACCAACTTCTTGACTCCTTCTCGACCACCAACAAACGGTTGCAAGCGGTTCGCATAAAAAAATCAATTTTTCCTGCCTAGATGCTCTACAATAAGATGTCAGAGACTTGTAGTTTGTCGTTTGGTCCCTTGGAGCAAAGAGATTCACACTCCAGACTTCGCTTGGTCACAGTTGATTCGTGACCACGCGAACGCCTGATCGTTGGTGTCCCTCTGCAAACATTTTCCTGTGAGTCTGGTAACTCAAACGCTTGATCCTGAATTCGACCAAGCCCAAACGTTTACTCGACGCGTAGTATGAGCGAGTCTTCAATGTCGTCGCACACAATCAAGTCACCACTGTAACATGTTTGTCCGCTTTGTACAAAACCTCGCTGACTCCTTCTTTCCTCTATCAACAACTCTGTTCTCATCATGACCTACCCAAGCATCCACACGCGCCCGGCTACACTGCAAGTTACGGCCACACCTGAGCTCCTCGGCACAATTTTCATCCATCTCAGCATCTTCGATCTACTACGTGTAGAGCGGGTTTGCAAACGATGGCGCGACTGTGTTCGGGATGTACGTGAGATACAGCCAGGCCTTTACAAGCGCGCCTTACCGGTGGAGCCAGGAGATAATCCACACTTCTAGCCTTTGAACGAAGCGACCGCAAAATTGACTTACCGAAGCCTGCCGTTTGGAGAACAGTTGAAAAATACTTTCCACAGTCTTGAGCAAGGCGCTAGATCGTTACTGGACCCTGATGCACCAGCTGGAAAAACCTTTGGCAAAAAAGGTGGAACATTCAGGCTTTACGATTTGCACAGACAAATCTTTACCCCAGCCGTACTCCATCGACTCTCAACGGCCGACGATGCCAGTATATTCATGGGTAACATTGGGGACGTTCATTGCGGCAAGTGTGGCACGTTTCACCTTAGCTTCCGATGGGATAACCTGCACCCATTGCTCCGATTTCTGGAACATATCCCTCAACTTTGTATCGGTGGATCTAATGCAATCATCACTATTCGACTCGGATATCATGGAACACTTTATCAAGAGGCCGAACCCCTATATGAGGTATTTCAGAATGCCATGGACCTCGCAGAACATGTCGAAGTCGTGAAATCTATATGTGCAGATTATCAGTTGACACATGACGTTGGTATTCAGCCGGCGGGGTTCCTGCTTTCAGCGGCACCCGAGTTCACCTATATTCTCCATTCTTGGGGAAAACTGAGGCAATCAGGTCTGCTCATCGGCGACTTCTTGGAAGGGCTCATGTGGTGCAGTCACGCAACGGCCATCAAAGCACAGGCTGGTATACAACATGAGGTGGCAATGCTCCAGGGGAAGATCAGTTGGGGGTTGGAACTGAACCAAATAGAACAAAATACGCTTGCAGATGTGCAAGCCAAAATCACGGCGATGGAACAGCGTATGGCGGCGATGGAAGCTTACTCGGCACTTTGGCGACAACAAGCAAGGGGAGGAGACGGAATGACCGGTTGGGTGGAGGAGACGTTCTCCTATGTCGGTTAAATTCACCAAGGGACATGTTTACACAAGCAGTTGCTATTCGTTGTGGAACTGTTTGGATTAATCTGGGTGTTCCGTGAAACGAATAGGAGACTTTACATCACTGTGGTATTATTGAGTATGTGTATTTTGGTAGATTTGTTTCACAATACAGTAGCTCTGAAGTCGGTGTCCGCAGTATATTATACTTACGATTTCTCTCATTCGTGAGAGCTAAAGCTAGCGTCGATTTATAACTAGTAACAGTCTCACATCGCAAGAGACATATTTGTTAGTGTATCGCTCTGGTGGGTATTCTGATGTCATTATGAAGGGAAGTCACTGTGAAGAGGAGACTTAGACCTCTGGTCATAATGTGTGTAGTTATGAGGTCATAGAAACCCGCATTCTGGTTCGCAAGCGAGCCGCGGTTGTCTGCAAACTGTGGGAAGACGTTCTATCATAATCTATGGAGGTTATTGCCATTGCTTACTTACCATGCATCCTCGGAAGACGCGTCCATCTCATGTCCATCTCGTTATGACCCAGCGTCTTCCTACAAGCCAGCTTACAACCCTTCCGATGCGACTTCGACAGGAATCGCTTTTCGCAGTTCAGACCGACAAGTAATAGTACGCGCACAAAGCTTGAAGAGGTCTCCGAGAAGTTCCGCAAAGTCGAAGTTATGTGTTTCTTTCTGACCCTCCAACAGATAGCGATCGATAGCCGGATCTAGCTTGGCGATGCCATCTATAGCCTGCACCAGACGAACATACATGCCGCTTTCATGGGAATCAAGGCGCTGATCAAACCCGAACAGTCTTCCACGACATACGGGACAAGTGGCTCTGCCTTTCTTCAGGTGTTTCTTGAGACAGATGATACCGTGAACGTGGCCGCAGGGAGTACGGACAGCTGGCTCGGTTCTGTTCGAATGCGAGAAGGACACTCTGTAATCGTAATAACAGGCATAGCAGCGGCGGTCGGTCTCATCACTCGCTGCCATTGCTTCTTCGGTACAAGGTGTGGTGAAGTCCGATACCGCTGGGTAGATTGGTGGTCGTTTACTAGGTGAGACCTCCCTGCTCGTGTCAGAGTCATGGCCGTTGTCTTGGGAGTCGGATGGTACGATGCCCTCCATATTGTCGTTGTCTTCATCAGCATTTTGATCGTTCTCGTCTTCTGTGGCCTCGTTGTCATTCCCGTCATAAGATGAAGTTTCGCTGAGAGCAACGCTTCGCTCATCCAGCACTGCATCCAACTCACCAATGAACCCTGCTTGCTTGTACCGACAACAGGTCAAGTATGAAACCATACCGGTGAAAAGGTACCACTCCAGACACGTAGAGCTTCGACCTCCTTGTTCATCGAGGTACTCTTTTTGCATCCGATCGCTCAGGCCCTTGCGTAAGCTTCCATATTCCAATGTAAGCTCACGATAATGCCCTTCGGTTGGATACTGTTCTTTGCCTTTAGCTTGACGTTGCTTTAGCCATAGTATTCGGGCCGCGAGGTAGGGGTTTGCGATGGACTCCTTGAATGTGTCGATGTCTAAATTGAAACGGGGAGGTTCAATAAGCTTGAAAAAGGGCTGACCTTCGGCGCGATACGCCAATGTCCGAGCGAACAGTGCTGCATCTGCAGTGTAGACTCGATAGTAGTCTCTGGTCCTTTCCCGGTGCAACATCGGCCATCCGTCAGAGAGAGAAGCGATCTCCGTTCTCACTTCAGATGAGTAATTAGACGCTAAACCTTGATCTAGATTGTCTAAAGAGACATGATTAGCCTGGAAACAGGTGTACAAAGTCAGTACATGCATTGCATTCATTTGGCTTCAGGAATTGACTAACCACGAATGTAAGCAAGGGTTGAGCTTCTGCCGTGTGTACTGAGTCAAGATCAAGGAGTTGCAGTCCAACGTGCTGCAAAACTTCGAACAATACTCGGTTGATGCGGGTTGTTGAATGGTCTAACAGTTTGAGATGTTCTTCGAATTCTATTCGCGCGGCGACATCCATCGTGTTCATTGACTCTGGTTCAACACGAGAAGTTGATTGAGATGCGTGGATGGGGCAGATGTATAAGGTCTGGATTGCTATTCTGTACCATTTGTCGATCAAGCGGTCAGCGATCTAGCAAACTCGTGGTTTGATGGCACCGTAAAAGGACCCAAACATGAAAGTAGCTTTCAGAGAATACCCACTCTTGAGTGGAGTGATGAAACCACATAGTTATCGAGCTGAGGTAGCTAAGCAGCCTCTGTGAAATACAAAATCTCATGTGAACACTCTGGTAGAATACCCCATCGCCAAACACTGCATTTTGAGTTCGCGATTGTTCGGTCCTTGTAGCCTGGTGGTTTCAACCTTGCTCAGAAAGTGCCGAAACCCAGCAGGCCAGGAAACATGTTGATCATGGCAATCGCGCCTACGAAGCTGGGAAGCTGTACCGAGTCTCACGTTCGTCGATAGTCGTCGACATCCTGACACCAAAGCTTGAAACCGTGTGGGAGCGATGAAATCGCAGCATAAAGTGTGCTGGTTGCTATACGATAGATGGTCATAAGGCGTCGATGATTTCAGCGGTCATGGCAAGACCAACGGCGCGTCTGCTGGTGATTAGGCAAGTGCCGGTCAAACAAGATACCAGTATTTGTAAATCATGGCAAGGATACTGCAAGGATGCAATAGACCAAATGTAGTGGAAGTACTGCCCGGGCACAATCGGAGAGCGCCAGCGCACCTCGTGACGACACGCCCGGGTTTGATGGTCGCATGATCTGGTGTCGCATAAGTATTGGCTGCACCCTTCGCCGGATGATGATCGCAAGAACGTGATACTCACC